TGTAAAATCAACAACCTCCAGTCCCTGCAGAACTTCTCCTTTCAAGAAAGAACCATGGTGGTGGTACCCTCCAGAATACATCCAAGAATTACACATTCACCTGGCACATTGGATTCTGAACCACCTTATGACACTTGGTGGAGTGATTTATCACACAGACTTGTTAATTTTGATCTTCACTGTCCTTCAGAATTAGCAGAACTTCCAACAAATCCTTACTGGCAGAATGATGAAGATCTCTCCAGACTTCGAGCAAGATTTGAACACAGAATTTACAATCACTTATTCCAATGTTGTGATTCTACTCCTGATAATTTTGAACAAGAACTTTCAGATGGGTAGATGATTCTCTTCTTCAGTACTTTGAAGATTTCCAGAAGATTTCCAGAATGATGACACTGATGGTGCTACAAGACAGAAGATTCCCTCTCCAGTCCAAATATTGTATAATTACATGTGCTAATTTCAGTTTTCTCCAGAAGACTCCACAGAAGTTGATAATGATGCCTTCACATCAAGACAACCTTATGTCAAGTCTTCATCAACTTTATGTCTTAGTCAAGTCATAATAAGTTTTTGTACTTTAGTATGAGTCATAGTGCTTAGTCACTGTACCTTAAGTGATGAGTCACTATACCATAATAATGGACCTTTGTACCATAGTTATGAGTCATTGTACCTTAGTTATGACTCACCGTCCTTTAGTCTTATCCTAAGCCACTTGTAAAGTTACTTTGTCCTAGTCTTGTCTTATTAGGCTACTAGTCCTTTACTTTTTCATGTATAAATAGAATGATACTTCTCTAGGAAGTAATCATCAAGAAAGACTCAAAAAACCTATCTCTTGTAAGAAAACCTTCCTTTATAAAATATGTTTGGCTAAAAACCTCTCTTCTCTTTTGGTGATTCCATCTTCCTTTTTCATAGTTACATCTTTTAGCTTCATCCTTCTCTTCAATCTATTCAAAGTTTGCAGTGATACAAGTTGAGTATGCTCTGCAGTTGCCATATTATTATGGATCCTCTGCAACAGAAACTCTTGTTAATCTGTTAAACAGATCATTGATCCCTTTCTCTCAGCTAAAGAAAAGTCATACCACCCCAAGATCATACTAATAGTAAGTTACTATAGTGAAAGACATATCTCCATAAAAGTCAGGCCCCCAGTTCGACGTTAAGCCAAGAAGGCGCCAGAGTCTTGAACACCGGCTAGAATACCTTGGTTATATGTCTGATCTATGGAAAGCTTATGGATCTTGTCAATTGAATTATGTTGTTAGTCTAGTGTTTGATTGTTGTCATCAGACTTGTACTATGCATAGATTGATCTTCACGCTGTTGTTATAGTACCAGATAGTATTGTCAGGACTCTAGCACCCGGAGAGCCCGAAATTGAAGCCGTGTCAGTTGCCAGAGCCTTGGTCGTACTACCTGCCGTTGTGTAGAAATGGTATCAAAGCTTACAACTTGTCAAGATAGTGAGAATAAAAGTATATTTCTAAAGATTTGATTATTGGAAAATTGGAAAAGGAAAAGCCAAAAGAGAGTCTTACTTTCATGGATCTATCCACTTTTAGCAACTCTAGTTCTCAACCTTCTTCCTCTAGATCTTCTTTTAGTTTATCCTCTCCTCCATCTCCTGTACTTAAAAAGTCCTCCTCTTCTAAGCTTAAATTCTTATATGAAGTAGATTATATTCCAGAAGAAAAGAAAACCCAACAAACAGTTCTACCTCTTGTAAATCCTTATACAGCTTTCTCAAACTCCTTCCCTTCTCTTACTAGATCTTTAAAAACTCTTTTAAAATCTAAATATCCAGCTCTAAAAGAATATGTTCAAGCCATAAATTTTGATCAATGTATTCTTCCAGCAGGACCTCAAGAGCACTTTGTTACTCTTCAGATCCCAGAAGAATTTCCTCACCAGTGGTCAGAACAAAGATACACTCACATTCACTTTGGTGCTATCAGAATCGCCTTAACCTTCCATGGCAAAAATAGAATTCCTGTCTGTACCAGAATGGCCTTATTGGACACCAGATTCAAAGATTACAAGCATGCAGTCATTGGAATCGTCGAGACGACACTCAATGCAGGAACTGTCTTCTTCATAGTCTTCCCCAATTATAATATGTCTCTTCATGATCCAACCCTGTTAGATGCTTTAAAAGTTCAAGTCCAGATCGTAGGCACAGAAATGAAAGGCCTCCAGGTAACCCTTCACTACCAGATGGCATACAGAGTTCAAGATCATGCCATTAACTTGCCTCTTTCACACTACAGTGATGCAGTCTTTATTAAAATGGAAACAGCAGACAGAACTCCTAAACATGTTCATATTCCAAAACAAATTTCTAATGAAGAACTTGCCACCCTTCTCCCAAAGACGTGGACGACAAGTTATCAAAAGATTTGGAAGCAAGATGAACCAATCGAACACTTTGATCCAACCTACAAGACAAACCAGGATGGTACTGTCACAATTGAATTTGATCACAGCAAATGAAAGGATGTTCCTCCTCCAACAATCTTTCCAACACAATTTATGATGCAAAGATGCCATGCTGATCTCCTTGATGTTCCAGTCACACACTTTCAGTCCAATGGAAATCCCGTGTATGCATATAAATCTCCAGAAGGACATTGCTATTGGGACATAAACTGTCAATGCAAAGAATGCCAGATAGATGCAGAGGATTCATAATAATATGGCAACTGCAAAGCATATTCAACTTGTATCACTGCAAACTTTGAATAGATTGAAGAGAAGGATGAAGCTAAAAAGATGTACTATAGAAAAAAGAAAATGGAATCATCAAGCAAGAATCGAAAAACCTATCCCTTGTAAGAAAATTTTTTTTTATAAAAATATGTTTGACTAAAACCTCTCTTGTTGGGTGTGGAATTTGGAGTTCCTCTCATCAATTGACTTCATGGAGTTGGCAACCATGGTTGAATTGGCATTTGCCACATCACTGGTAATGATAACATCGCCATAAGGTGTCAGCTACAGACTGGTGGAGATTGTTTGATGTAGAAAATTACTCTAGCCAGAGGGAGGGATAGGGAAAAGAGATTCTATGTAAGTTTTAACATTTGCCAAACGGCACCATGAGATTTGGTTGTATTATTAGATATTTTTATAGTATTTGTTGGACTGTTGTTAATAAGTCAAGAAGCTACTTCGATTTTTCCATGTTTTCATTGTTGTCTTCTTGTTTCTTCTTACCAAGAATTAGGTGTCATTTTCGCTATTTTTTAAAGAGAAAAGAAATCTCACCAAAAATAAAAGGGCTATATTAACCACTCAAGCCAAGCTATAGAGTTTAAGAACATTTGATCTGTTCATATAGTGTTGTCTTAAAATACGCAAGTAATATTTTTACTGAAAATAGTAAGACTTATTTTCTGAACAAGCTGAGCTAAAAAAAAAAACATATAATGCTGATCAGCTTAATATATTTTACAAATTTAATTGGATTGAGTGGTCATGCCCAGCAGCCTCCACCGGCTAACCTTTTTCATTCTTTCTAGTTAAGTTCGACAAAATGTTTTTAATTTTAATAAATTTAGTTTTTTTTATTTGGGAAATCCATGTCCATTATCTACAATAAGATAATTTTTGCTATAAGATTATCATTCAAATAATTATGATAATCTATACATCGTGATTAAATTATTATATCTAATAAATACTTGATAATTTTACGTGACAATAAGTTTAGATCACAAAAATGATTAGATCACAATCTTAAAGAGTGACTTAATTCTCATATAAAATAATGAAAAAATTTTAACACAAAAATAAAATGATATATAAAATTAACAATGATTAATATTACTCATTTAACGTATAAATTAAAAAATTTCTTTCTCTTAAAGTTAGAATTATTTTATATATTAAAAATTTTATATTTTAAATTAATATTCATTATAATAAATTAAAAAATAATTTTTTATTTTTTATATTTTATATATAATATAATTTTTTCCTTTATTATGATTTAAAAAATTAATTTTATTTTTTAATTCAAATATCATTGCATAATTTATATTATAAAAATTAATTTACTTATCAATAAATATATTTATCAATTTAATAATTTAATTATATTTTATTTAAAATAAATAAAATATTACTAATATTTTATAAATTATTATCTTTAAAATGATTAAAATTATTAACTCATATAACTATTATAATATGTATGATATTTTCATACTTTTAAATAAAATAATATTTTATTTTTAATAATAACAAATACCATAATCTTTAATTTTTAAAAATTATTAATTAAATAAAATAATTTTAAATTACACGAGATAAAATCACTTTATTAATTATATTATTATAATGATTTTACAAAAGATATCATTATCTAAAGGGAATTCTCACATAACATAAGCTTTAATTGTCAATTTTTAAATTAAATTAAGATTACAAAAATATTTAGAAGAAAATTTATGTCAATTGAACAACTTTCGTCAATTGATGCACAAATCAATATATTACTTATTTCTTAAAATTTTAACTAATGAATACGCTCAGTTGGTAGTACTGATTAATAGCACTACACATATTCGAGATGTACACATGGCCCATTAGGAGTGGGCCACCATTCGTTCATTCACTGCGAGCCCTTTTAATTTTTGACTTGTCTTTCCAATACGTCCATTTTCTTCTTCTTTTTATTTATTTTTTATTTTACTGTATACTTAGTATATATGTAATTTGGTAGGAGAAGAAGATTAAATCGGCCTAGTTTGGGATTTCAATTGGAATGAAAATTACTATAGGAAAATGTTAAAAAGTGTCTGTAAACATTTGTTAAGGTGTTAAACTAGGTCACCTGCCACTGATATACTAAATGTAGGAGTAACATAAGGTATGACAAATAGGCATGCATATGCCTCTCAACTCATGTACTTGATTTAATAATTCTTACTTAAAAAAGATGTATTTTAAAATTTGAATTGCTTTTCTTCATAAATTTTCTCAAAATGAATCAAAAGAATAAAAACCAGAAAAATGCATGTATCTGCGTGGTAAGTTATAATTTTTTTAAATTACAAAAGTAAGGAAATTATAAGAATGAGTTTGTCTTTACCACAAAGACACCTGCATTGAAGAGTATATAGCAACTGCACCGATTTATTTAGTCATAGCTGTTTCAGCATGTTATAGAGATAGACTTACCACATATACGTGTTCTACTTATAAAAAAAACTTTTCTTATCAATGCCTTACCAGTTATAGAGAAATTAACCTTAATATATAGTCATGTCAAAGCAGGATACTCTTATATACAGGAAACATTATCGAAACAGTCTCGGAAATTCAAGGTCTTTTAAGTGAGTAGACATAAAATTAACAGTATGGCTGGTCTTACCTTTCAGATTTTGTGGCTCACTTTTTAATTTTGTGCTTTGCTTGTTTTTGTGCTAAATGTGATGTTAATGTTACTTTTGCCTTGCATGTCGCGTATTGCTCAAGAAATATAACCATGCCTCCATAGTATCAAACTTCTCCGGATCCTGATCAGATGATGAGTCCCGAGAGAAGCTACTCATCTTCTTCTCTTGACATTGTGGAGTTAACGTCGTCCCTCCAGGACACCAAACCCTGCAGGGCCTCATTGCACCAAAGATCCGCAAGTGATTCCCTCGCCTTTGTGAACAAGCCTTATTTGGTTGGACCAGGATCTTGTCAGAGCTCAAATATTGGTGCAGAATGGTGCTCGAAACTCGATGGAGGTAATGCTGATGGAAAGGCTATCGATCACAACGTCGAAAAATTGGAGGACTCTTCGTCTTCGTCTCTCATAGGAGAGAGTACTCCTCCCCCAACTGAGCCTCAAAAACGGCGTCGGAACTTTCACCCTAGCATGGACCCCAAGAACATCAAACGGTGCAGTTGGCTATTACACTATATACTATTTATTTATCAATTTGGACAGGATTTTTTAACTATAAATATTGACACACCCCAACAAGTATACCGCATTTAATATTTGTAGAGCTAAATATTTTCTTCTAATACCATTTTATTTGTTGTAGACCGCTTGTGAACAGAGTTTCAGCTCAGAAATCGCGGCTGAGGAAGCTGGAATACATAGAAAAATTCAAAAGAGATATAAACACCGAACAGGTTGTTGAATTCCTTTATCAATGTTGACTATGTTTTCCTCTGAGTTAAATTCAATAATCTTAATACCAAACACATTGTTAAGTTTCGCATTCTCATCTTCTATTTGGGTAACATTTTCAGGCCAGAGTATCGTTTCTAGCTCCACAGGTTTCTTTCTATGAACTTCAACGCACGATGTTGCAAAAATAGAACAATGCAATGAAACAGAGGATGGAATTTCTTGAGAAAGATATGGCAAAGAAAGATGGTGAAGTAGCAATTAACTTTATCACCTAGATACTAGCTAGACTGATCGGTTTATCCTTCCTTGATCTTCTCGTTTTTAAATTAATTTGAAAACAATGAAATTAACAATTGAGTAACTAAGCCTACTTCTGGTTGCAGCTGAATATCAAGCATTGAAGGACGAGAGAGACATGCTTGCCCTCACATATTTCCTGATGCAAGAAGGCATTTAGAAACAATAGAGCTTTATATTTGGATTACAAGATCCAATATTGAAGTAAAAAATCTCAGACCTCAGACCTGCCACATTAGTATTCACAAGTTGTTTCTTTTCTATTTTCAAAGTATAGTTCCATCACAGTTCCCTGGACCCTAAACTTTAAAATAATTTCAAATAATAGTGGAATCAAGCAAGCTCTTGAATCATTAGAATTCTGTTTAAGGCCGTATGCATAAGCGAAGTTCCTGCTCTTTATATACATAGTAGTTTTACTTCTATCTCGGATTATCAACATTTTGTGAAAACTTATATAGGACCCTTCTGCCCCAATTTCTTGCCAACAAGACATGGTGATGGCGGTCTTCTCTTTTTGTCAGCAAGAATATGAAGTTGGAATTGTAGCCTGTCTTGTTTCGACATAATTCTAAATTCAAATTTGATTGGGCAGGTAATGTAAAGGAAACGACGGAGTAAAGAATTAAACAAAAAGGTTATTATCAATTGGTGTAACATTGGTTCGCACATGACAATGAGAAAAACCTTCCATTCGGATAATTACCTCAAGATCTCACTCAGAATTTTCCCATTCATATAGTCAGATCTAGAGTACTTACCCTTCTTGCACTCTCCTTGGTATGATCATCTCCTTTTAATCTGCTAAGCTTTAAGGATGATGGTGAGTACAATGACAGAGATAACTCACTACCAACATTGTCTTCCATGGAATTTCGCTGGTTTGCTTGGTTCACCTGCGTTAGCCGTAGTGATAGATCCAAATCAAGGTTGCAATCTGAAGTCTTTCTTTTCATCGCCTTAAAGTCTTGTTGATTAGGTTTATTTAAATCAGAAGGGCCATTACTTCTGCTAAAATTTGTATGATCTTCTGCCTTAGCTTGCGTTTGGCTTACGGGGTTGAGCCCAATTGGGCCTAATCTTGACCAGGTGTGGAATGATTCAAGATTGTGAGATGATGAGAATTCATTCTTCAGTTTATGGCTTTTCCAGCTAGGTAGTGCATTGAAAGAGTATGTGCCCATCCTGAAATTGTAATTAGTCCAATTGCTGCTGTTACTGCCAAATATCCTCTCTGTCACTGTTCCATGCAATCCTGGTCTTTCTTCATTAATGAAACTCATGCTTGCATAAGGATTACGCATCGAGTACTCACAGCCATTCCAGGAAGCATCTCCGTATCTTGAAAGAAGTGGAGTTTTGCACAGAAATTCATTCTGTATTTGGAAAAGACTAACACATACATTTACGAAATGTGAAAGATTGAATGTTGATTGTTAAATTTGGTACCTGAAACTACTAGAAGTATTGCCTTGATGATATTTATTATATCCTTGCAGCATGGGCAGTTGGCTGAGGTTATAAATATTTGGTTCTCCAATTTCCACAAGATGCCTATGATCGCTTATGACTGTCATGTAAAGGTAAATTGTATTCATTAGGGACGACAGCCATAAACCCTAATATTGATTCAGTGGTCAAGGAAAAAGAATCAAGATAGAGAGAAATTGAAGTACATACTTTGTCCCCGGTCATCAATCTTCTTGCTTCTATACATCTGATGACAGATACGGAAAACAGGGAAAATATTGTTGGAAACAAAAATCAGAGATTTTCATTCTATTAATGAATATGACATAAGAAATTATTAGCTAATTTACAAATTTTTATAGCCAAACAACCTGTAGATGGCTCTTGACATGAGCGATGCTAAGTCCTTTTATATTCATCAGTTGAAGAACTAACTTTGGGGTAGCTCCTGAACCAAGAGAGTTCGCTTAGTTAAAAGATTGTTTTCTTAGTTGCAATTCAATTACTACCAAATTAGATCAGACGGCAGAGATTGGTAAGGGAAGAAATGAACTCACTGTCTTGTCCACCGAGTCTCTCAACTGCGTGAACAAAATGAAGGTGAAGATCGGGTGTCCACCGGAGCCTTGGCATCTTGGATCTGACGTAAGGCCTTACTGTTGGCTTCTTCTCATTCTCTTCCACAGTGCTGTTGCTTAAGGTTCCTCCATTTCTAGGCTTACTTTCACCGTCATTTTCTTCACTCTCACTCTCAGCCTGATTTTGTTTAGATGGGCTTGTCTTTGAACATTCGATGCCTCTATTTCCCTCCATCTTTCCAAGCTATCTAGCTTCCGCTCTCTATCTTCAATATCCAAGTCTAGGAATCATAGCATATAATCAGAGACAAAATATACACAGAATTATGAACATGGAGGCTTAAAATTAAATCATACTAACTAATTTGTAACCGGAAGTAGGGTGCAGCTTTCTTGGTTGATCAAAATAGGGTTAAATTTTGTATCCTCCTATGAGGAGAACAGATAGAAAACTAGGTGAAAGCAAGCATCGACTCAAGCAAAGCTAGCCTACAGGTCTTTGAACAGAAAGGAGGATATGGGAAACCCTAGATCTTGACAGGGAAGACAGACAAACTGTTTTCTTCTCCCCTTCTCTCTCTCTTGGGATTGGTACCAGTAAACAATAATATTTACTCATATCTTTGTGTATATAACAAGAATATTTTATATCATCCACGCCATGCAACACATGAATGCATCGATAGATGTCGAGTTAGGCATTGAAGTGTGTGTGTGTGTATATATATATTACTCTTAGAGTGCATTAATTAAATTTAAAAGAGTTTAACAATTTTATATCAAATTCAATGAGTATGAAACCAAGGATGTCCAGTAATTAGGCATGATAAGCCAAAGAAATTAGAGAAACGCATCTTACATTTTTAAGAAAAGATTAGAAAATTTATTACAACTATTCTTTTATCGATTTGAAACTTGTTTTTGTTGGAATCTTAATTGAACTCTACTTACTTCAAGTGGGCTTTTGTTCTTATTACTTTTGTCACTTGGCTAAAATGAAAGAAAGCCTGTGGTGTAACTGATGGAGGCCTGGTTGAAATTGTTCCCTACCCAACCTAATTGGAAATCCCTTTTTTTTTTATTTATTATTCCATGATGACTGACGAGTATAGTATAATTCTCCCTACAGTTGAGAAATTGATTAATAATATTTCAAGAAATTCCCTATATAGGGAATCATTTACAATAAGCTAGCTAAATGCAAAACTGATGTAATGTAAAGTTAACAACAATTGAATCTAACTCAAAAAAAAAAAAAACTGAACAACAATGAAAGTCGTCACATATATAAATAAACCTCAAAAACAGGTGAGAAAATACTGTACTTTGTGAAACAGCTTCAGCTTGCATTGAGGATCCAACCTAATTTTAAATTTGCATGAGGATTTTGAGCTGTTGGGAGGATAATTAATTTAAGTACACGAACAAATAAAAGTTGAAGGAATGAGCAGTAACTCACGTTGAGGGAGGGGGGGTGGTTGATGGGTCTGATGCATGCATGTGTGAGAGCTAATGTGAATGTGATGCTAAGCTGTAGCTGATGCAGACGCAAACTAAAAAGAAGATTATGAAATTGCCTTTCCAACGGGAATCACGGGCTTTGCTCCTCCTCGGGGAAGTGAAGGTACACCACTGCTCATAATTCATCACCCATTCACCCTTTCTTTCTAAACTTTAATAAATTCTGATTATAATTCCAAAAAAATATTTTTTTTCTAATCATCTTGTTTCTAAATTAATTTTAATTCGATTGAAATATTGTGCGAATGACTAAGAAAAGAAATCTATACACTTCAATTATATCCCCAAATCTGTTCTAATAAAAAGATTACTAATACATACTAGAATTATTAATTTTTTTTTTTGTTTTATGGTTACATGCCCATTGTAACAGGTACTATTGCTTTCTTTATTGTTAAAGTAGTATTACTTAAATACGGTTTCTGATTGAAGAATGCAATACACCAACACAATTAATGGAAGAATTTAAGACAAAGAAAAAAAAGATGAAGGATTTCTTGATTAATCTAACATTACTAACAAGGAAAACTTATTAAGTGTAGATATCCAATTCGATTCAAGTCCGGATCAATTGGGCTTGATCCAAATGTGTAAGCCCATTTGCATTTTTATTTTTATTTTTTTTAATTTTTAATTATTTATTTATTATTACTATTATTATTTATTAATATATTTTTTTTATTATTTATCTATTAACATATTTTATTATTTATCTATTAATATATATATTTTATTATTTATCTATTCATATATTATTATTTATCTATTAATATATATTTTTTTATTTTATCTTTTCGGTTGAGATTAGGATAAAAAAAAATTTTTTTTAGAATTTTACCGTGAATTTAAGATTCAATCAAAGTATAGATTGGATTCAAAGATTGAATCTCAATTCAAGATGGAATTGGGATTGAGCAGAAACTCTTCTGATCAATCCTTATAAATAGATCCATAAATCACAAAGAAAACACACAAAATGACAAACGAAGAGAGAGCAAAAAGAAAAGAAAAAAGGGTGTTTAGAAAGGTCAAAAGCAATTTTAGGAGTTTTTTTTTTAATTTTAAAGAATTTTTGACGAATTTTTTTCTGAAAATTTTTGGAAATTTTTCAAATTTCAGTGAATTTTTCTAGAAAATTTGAATTTTTTAGTGACTTTTTTGGCACTAATTGAATTTTTCGACCAGTTACCCAATTTTCGATGTACTATTTTCAAAAACCAACCAACTTTTCGACGAACAACCCAGATTTCGATAATATTTTTCAGAATCCAACGAGATTCAACCGGTGTTCTTAGTTTCTTTAGAGATAATGAGGAGAAAAAAAGGAAAGGAGAGAGAGAGGGAAAGAAGCGATCTGTAGAAAAATAGAGGTTGGAGCTTTTTATAGTGCCTTAAAATGACGTCGTTTTGACGTTAGTGAACCCACAGGATCCGCATGTTTTGTCAAGATTCGACCCAATCCGATTGCGATCCGATCAACGACCCGGGTACTAAGCTTCCTTTGGAGCCGAGCCACGCGCTCCCGAGCCATGTTCTTCGAGCCGTTTTTTTCTTCCTTAAGCCGAGCCGATCCCAATCGCTTAAGTCGAGCCGCGTTAAGGTTATTTATTTACTTATTTATTATTATTTTTATTATTATTATCATTATTATTATTATTTATTGATTAGATTAGAATTATTTAGTATTCTTTATTTTATTTTATTTTTTAAAATAAAATTCTAAAAAATATATTTTTAAGGAAAAGTTGAAAGTATCAATTTTTCTCGAAATTAAAGCTTCAGAAAAATATTTTGGGAAAAAGTTGAAAGTATCAATTTTTTTTGTATAAAAGCAATGAGTTTTTGAAGAGAAAATGATTTATATCTAAAGCTAAATCATTTTTTTTTCTTCATTTTTTTTCTTTTCCTTTTTGTTTCTTGAATTTTTTTTAATATTAAATAATCCGATGATAGAGCCTCTGCAAGTGAAACAGTAGTCTCCTTACATACTTTTGAGGTGAGAAAATTTTTTTAATTTTCTGCTAAAAGTATTAGAGTCAATTGAGAATAATTTTCAATAATTAATTACTTGATAAATTTTTAAGGCTTATTGGATAATACAAAATTAAGCTGGTACCATCTTTCGATGAGCGTTGTGAGGGTGCTATGACCTTTTTCACACATAATCGTACTCTCGAATCCTGTTTTGGTTAGTAGACCTGAACCTATTCTTTTAGGGACCCTTAGGTTTAGGTGTTTCTTAAAAGGATAGATTCCTTAGGTGGCCAATCACACTTAGATAAAAAAAGATTGGTGACGACTCCTTAAATCAATGTCTAGCGATAGATCTTCAGATCTAGACATTATGACAGTTTGACGACTCCATTGGGGACATCTGAAAGTTAAGCCAACAAATAAATTTTTGTTATCCAAAAGCCTAATAAAATTAAACCTTTTTGTATAGATTTTTTTCATTCATGTTTATTTACTTTATTAATTATGTCATTCATATGCATATGCATAACATGAGCTCTATACCCGAGCTATGTCCCTTTAGGAGGGAGTAAAGTACTATTACTTTCGTGAGGTTTAATGCCTCTGCAGTGGCTAGTGAAATACTCCCACTCAAATTGAACCTTTTTTGCTTGTAGCCTGTAATGGACGAGGATTAGGGTGTCTCACTAGTCTGCGATGGACAATTATGTAAGAAGCAATTTGGGAACCTTTGGACTTTAACCTCGAACCACATATAGTAAACCTTAAGAGTTTCTAGCCTATAGATAGAGCTATCATCCTTCCCTTTTAGAATTGACCAAAAGCATAGGGTTCATTCCTCTTATTCTGTGTGATGTTTTAATTTACTTAGTTATTTATTTATTCTTTTTTTTATGCATACTAATGTTTTCTCTCATTTTTTTCCATTGGTTCATGCTCATATCATAAAGTTACATAAAGAACATTTGCTTGAAAGACAGTCTTCAACAAAAAGTTTTTTATGGACTCCACAGAACGATTAATTTGCTTTTCATCTGTATTAGCTCCTTATGAGCTACCCAATGAAGTAAAAATCTAGTCAGAAAAGATACAACTAAATATGAGGGATTGTTTACTAATCGGCTATGATTCTACCTTATCTTAAGAAACATCTATCCTCCTCAAATAAAATAATCTAGAATAATTGATTGATATATGAAAGAAGATGAACCCAGCTAGACAAGAGAAGTTTTGCCAAAGACACGGGCATATAGCACACTTTCTCGTAGTAGTTGTCGATGATCAACTAATTAAAGCTGTAACGTAATTCTGGGATCCTGCATACAAGTGTCTCATCTTTAACGAAGTTGATATAACACAAACTATCGAAGAATATTCGACTTTGTTAGGTTTGCACCTCAAGGCTTTTGATGAGATATATGTCAAAAACACAAGTCAAGATTTTGTAAGGTTTTGGCTCGACTTATGGGGATAGACAAAGAAGTTGTGGATTCTCATACAAAGGAGAAACAAGAATAAGTTTGCCTACCTTGAAAGTTCTTTCATGAGTTTCTAGTGCAGCATGCCAATAAAGAACAGGGGTTAAATGTATTTGCCTTAGCTATATATAAAATGGTGATATTTTCAAGGGTTTTGGGTTATATTGAAATAGCGGTGGTTGACTTCTTCGAGAGTGTGATCAATGGTTGTAACCTTTCAATGATAATATTAGCAGAGATTATCATATCTTTGAGTTACTATCATTGAAATGAAAGACATTTTATAAGCTGCATACAGTTATTATACTTATGGCTGAAAATTTGAATGGAGAAAATGTGTTTTTACGAAGCTTTATGTTCGCAATCGATCTTCGATCAAGGAATTCTGTGAAAGTGGATGGTCAGAACA